GAGGCAGAGCAGAGGATTTGGGATGATGATCATCAAATCCCACTTCTAAATTGATGAAAGGATGGGAACTGAGGGTTGGTGGCATTGTGCTGTCCCTTTCTGCTGAGTTCATGCATTCTTTTAGTATGTTCGTCATCATCCACCTTGGTTCTGCTGCCAGGAGATGGGAGCAAGCTACAAACAATAGGACCAGGACACGTTGAATCGTTTCTCATGGCCGACCGTGTCGCTTCGGTCCTTTGGACAGGGTGTCCTGGGTTTGTTGCACACCTGCAGTGGTGTACATTCCTAGGTAGAGCTCTGAATTTCTCAGATAAGATATTGCAATGACATCATGTGACATGAGATGCCACAAGTGCCCGATCAGATGTTTCGTGTCATTGGGAATCAACCTTTTAGATTTGAGGCTTGGAAGAATACTGGGCTTCATCTCAGATTGAGCCATGATGGAGAAGGCATACTGAAGATTTTATCTTTGAATTTGTATATATTTTTATTTGTATGCTAGGTATTTCATGCCAAATGAATATTTTAAAATTTTTTACTCAGTTTCATGGCTGATGAGAAGTCATCGCGCATCACAGTGGTCCTGTTTCTCTGATACCCATTCACACTCTGTAGTTTTAGCATGGTGACAGCCAGAAAAAGTGTTCAGCGTCAGGGATGGCAGTTCTCATGCCCAAATTCTTGTTTTTCTTGTTTCTTTTCTTAGGCGTAGTCTCATGACGATTCTCGCCCGATTCATGTTCGTGTTCCAGTTCTGTTTAGATTTGAGAGGCTTTTGTGCGATGCGTCCGTTGCACCTGAGCCAGATTAATCTAGACCCATAGGGTTGCGCAAGTGCTGGGTTTCTTATCTGGTGCTTTATATGTCTAATCCTGGAGTGCAGGATGTGTCCATAAAGCGATTGCACGGCCTGGCGCCGTGGGGAGATTTATAGGCACTCATGGTAGGTAGCAGGAAAGGAGATAAGGACTGAAGAGGGGGGATGCGAACCGCCTTGGGATTTGCACGGGTGGAGGGATTTTGCGAGGGGTTGACGCCGTGAGTCACGTGGAGGTCAGGGTTCGCACGGCCACTGGGAAAGATGATGGAGCTGTGTTGGAGGAATAAAGTGGTTTTGGGTGGGGTGGGGTGGGGGGGGAGGAAGGGAGGAGGGGAAGGTGTTGGGGGAAGGATCTATGGAGCCTCGGTCGTCTTCTGAGGCGAGTAGGGTCTGGAGGGAGGTCGACGAGTAGGGAGTTGCAAGGGTCTCGATGCTGGGATTCTGGAGAGGCGGGGAGGTTCCACGAATGACTGGGGAAACGGGAGAGGTTCCGTTCGTGCTGTTGTCGCTGGGTTGGAGGATGTGAATCCCGTTGGCGCCGGGTCGAGTTAGAGCGAGAGAAATTCTCTTTGCCGATCGGGTACGGTTAGGTTTTAAGCAACGAGTCGAGACGTAATTTTAATTTGGCCGTCGTTTCCGCTGGATTCGGGGAATTTGTGACTCGGCCGTCTCGCTTTCTCCCTGCCAATTTTTTGGCAGAAAAATCGATTAACACGTTGGCGACAATGCGTCCTGATGCCAGGATGCAGATTTTCCACGCGGCGGACAAGCAAAAATAGGCTGGTCGTCAACGTGTTAAACGAGCCCACACTCCCGAGTATCCAATGAAATTCGATCCGGTATTGGGCGATGACGTGTCTTCCGTCGGTGGAGTTCCCGAGGGTAAATGGACACCCGGTACACAAAGATAAGTTACTAAAAAAAAGCAAGTTTCTCGGAACTTGAACGAAAAATTTCATCGCGCGACTCATTACCCGAGAGCTTTCGAGTGCTTCCCGGAACGTCCCCTCTCCCCCCCTCCTCCATCTCGATTTTTTTTTATTATTTTATTTTCCTTCCGTTCTTTCGCGTCCCTGTCGAGTGGAGGAGTGGGGGGGGGGGGGAGGGAAATATTTGGCCTTTGTACCGGAGATAAGATATCCTATATAGTCCCCGTGTGTCCCGGGGTTTGCCTCCAGTCTCACCGGCAGCGTCGACCTGGTGCTCGCTTACCTCCTCTCGCCTGCCCCAACATCCCCACGTTTCTCTCTCTGGTTTTTTTTTTTGTTGGGAATTCTTCCCCGAGGGAAGAGGGACCATCTGTGGGGAACGAGAGAGGAACCGGGGGGGTTGGGGGGAGGCGAGGGGCTCCGGTCGTCCGAGTTTAACCGTTCGTTTTCGTTTTCGTCCCTCGAAGATCTCGAGGATTCGTGCGTTGGCCTTTCGTTGGAAGGTGAGATCTCGACACGTAAGGATGGGAAATCCGTGCCAGATCTAACTCTTCCAGCGGAGGGACCTCGCTCGCTTTTCGGGACTCCACCGACGGTCATCGGTCGTAACCGGGGGGGTGACCGCGACTCGCCGGGACGGTTTGTGCACGTTTGCAGGACTGCTGGGGATGGAAGGGGGCTGCAGGACTAAGTGGAGGAATTGTCTCTGTCACTTTTATTTATGAAAGTGAGATTCTACTCCTCCAACTTGTTGCTCAGCCCTCGATTCGCCTGTTCGACGTCGACATCGCTTCCTTTTTTTTTCCATATTATTTTCGTTTCGTTCTGTTTTCGGTCTTTTTTGTACCTCGTTTCCTGTTCAGCATCCGAAATAAAGCTTTCTGATCCCTGCAAACCCGCCCATTTCGATGCAGGCCGAACCGTTACGGTTCCCAGGCGATGGAACGGAGACGGGATGCATTTCCCCTCGATAAGATAGCGGAGGGAAAAGTCGTAACGGCATGGACTCGCTCTCGGCAAACAGTTTTTCCCCGTATCTTATCGACCCGAGGCGTTGGCGTGTTTGCTCGGCCGGTGTACAAACCGGGGGAAAATCCAAGATCCCAGGACGCGGCTCGGAAGGAACAGATGACGCAACGCCGTTCCGAAATCCCAGGGTTTCGGGAACGTTTCGGGCGGAGGCGGGGGACCGTCGACGACGGCTAATTTCGATCCTTCTGGGTGGGGGAGCACTTGGGGTCAGGGGGCTGGGGTTGTTCCGACGGAGATCTGGAGGGATCCACGGTTTTTTTTTTTTTTTTTGCAATGGAGAGCATCCGCAGTTTCGCCTTTGTGACGTTTTGATATACTTTGTTTGGGATTTGACACCTGGGTTTTTTTTTCTGTTCTACTTTCTGCCCAATTCTTTGTGATTCATTTGCACTCGCGGTGCAAGTAAGCGTGGATCACGATGCTCTTTGTCGACTGCTGCGACGAATGGGAAGGGCCTCGTGTTTCTTCGTGGTTACCGTGGTCCCATGCACAAATATTTCTCACACATCTTACAGAGCTCTGTTTGCAGTCGAATAGACCGGATGAGTAACCGAATGGGGGGAAATAGAGAGTCTCGGTGACATACCGAGGGGAAGCTCGATTCTTTCCGAGTTTGGTTCTAACCTCTCCACTCCGGTCTAAATGTTAATTGTATCCACCATCTCCATTGGAATCAATGTTATGTAAATGGCGGGGTGGGGTGGGGTGGGGGCAAACATTTCTGTTTGCCTCTCTTCCCTCCTGTCGCCCTTTGATGAAGTTGTGGCGATGCCACAGGTCTCGCTCCACAGTATATATTTTTCTGATGGTAAAATCGTGAGGGAGAACTTGGAGAGGGAAAAGAGTTAGACGGGACACTTGTTAAAAACTGGTCAACGTCTCCTACAGTCTGAAGCGTACTCAGATGTAAGCAGCAGGACAAAGAGGATGATATTTTTTGCAATTTTACCTCAGACTTATTTAATTGAGGTGGACTGAAATGATACTGCCATACGGGGTGCGTCGTAATGAGTCAGAACTCTTCATGGCGCTGGCGTTTTAGAGAAGTGATCAGAGTTTCGGTCGCAAGGGGCATTGCGAAGGATTCGTATGTGTTTGTGGCAACTAATAGATCACAACTCCGTCCTCGATCGATTGAATTTTAATCGGCATGTAATTCCGTGCATTGGCAAAGAGAGAAAAAATTCTAGAGAAAGCTGGCACCACTTGCCATTCACCTGATTGACATTAGTTGTCATGTTGAACTTAATGCAGTAGCACGATGTTTGCATTTAATGTTACAAGCATATATACGTTTTCGAAATCGCATATCCCAGCTCGATGGGGTCGCGCGATTCTAGCAGGCAGTGGAGCATCTCCTTGGGGCAGCGGACTCGAGATCGGCGGGTTGAGTCCTTCTAGTGGCGGAGATCGGCGAAGCGGTCCGTCGAGCTTCAACGAGGCGGGTCGACTGGCCTCTTGGCGGTCGTTTTCGATCGGAGGACTTGCGCCTTGGGAGTCTCACGAGAGGTAGCCGAGTGCGTGGCTGCGAGGCCTGGAGGTTCTTGGGGATCCCGGCGCCGTCCTCGAGGGAGTCACTCGCAGCAGGAACCTCGTCCAGGTGGATTGCGTCTGCGTTTCGATCGTTATTGGTGACCGTAGGTGAGGGGGGGGGGGGGGTGAATGCGCTTGTAAACCGAGGGTTTCGCATCTTTGGAAATGTCAGATTTGGCCAGAATTCCGGCGAAGCTGCGGAAACCCTGGAGATGTGGCAGTCGATCTCGATGTCATATCGCCCGTCACTCGACTACCGAATCCAGAGGTACTTAAACTTTTACGCCTGTTTCCCTGTGGGGCCTCTCAAAAATGTAAGGCGCACTCTACAGGACTTTTCGAGAGGACCGTAACCTGCGTTTTGGGGACGCTAAAATTAATTCCGGCTGCAGTACGTCCCGAGTCGAACCGATCGAGCACGCCCTGTCGACACCGGGCGAAGGGGCGTATCAACGGCAAAGAGAAGTAGGCCTATCTTCGATACCAGCGATGCTGACGCCCTCGAGACCCAGGCCACGCCCACAGATACTATCTATGTACACGAGGAACAGGAAAGGGGGGGAGTCGGAACTCATGTCATGCTTTAGTGCGTTTAACGTTTATGAGGCTGATTGGGTGGAACTCTGTCGCCAACGAGTCCGCCGGTCATTTGCGAAAATAAGGCATCACTCTGCCTGGTGATGCTTGTAATGACCTTGGATTTGTCGTGGGTTTCGAAGTCATGATGCCAACGTGGTTCTTCATGTTGGAATGCATTAGGTTGTCACGATGAAATAAAATGGAAAAGAATGCTTCATGGACTTTCTGGGCTCCCACTACTCATTCTCGTCGAGTTGATCTGTTCCTTTTTTTTTTATTGCTTCACAGATTCTGACTATGAATGAAGAAGTATCACTCAGTCAAGGTAGTATCCTCAAGAGAGAGATTTGGATACACATTATTATTCAATTAGTTGCAATTGATGTTTTAAATCCTGACACTGCAACACTGAAATCACTTCATCAACCTAATTGAATTTCCAGCCCTATATATTCATATCATTAATAGTACCAAGGGATGGACTGGTCAATTAAAATTTGTCCATTTATCAGTCTAATAAATTAATATGATCTTTGGTCAATGAAGCCCATTCTAACGTGGTTTCTTTCTACACTGATTTACTCTATTTGGAGGTCATGACTCTCAAGTTGCAGCCATGTAGAATTCAGGCCAACTGGTTGCATGTGATGGAACTTGTCAATGGTGATACTTGAGATGTCATCCAGTGGATGCTGGGTGGATTGCTTTAGAAACTTGAAAATGGAACCAGCATTATGACAGAAGTGCTAGAGAATGCTTATTGTGGTTTCCAGCCAAATGAAAATATCTGATTCCAATGAATGAAAAGTATGAGTAATGGTTAATTTAAGGTTGGTCACTTGAACAATGAAATGAACCTGTCATTTGATCATCTCATGCCTAATTGTAACTCTATTTTACTAAATTTATTGTCAAGTACTCATGAGCTTGTGAATGGTGGAGAGGAAACCTGGTGGAATCAGCACCACTTGAATTAAGTTTTGGCTTCAGTCAGTTCAGTGATTCAGGAAGGTAAAGGCAGGCATGAGAAGTTTGATGAATAAGCGAACTAATAAAGGGGAGAATGGGTAAATATGGGACTTATCAAGGCCAGTCAACACTGTGTTTTTTCAGTGTGATTCATACTCATATGCAAGCAGGACACAAAGGCTGATATTTTGGTCATTTTAATTTACTATATAATTGATTGCACCAGATTCACTAGGTGAGGGTTGGTTGTATTCATCAATGCCCTGCAGAAGTTGGAAAAGTGTTGCTGTGATTGATAAGAGAAGTACTTATATGGGTGAAGGAAAAGAGTATGACCATTGGCAGTTCTCATTTGTGCATTCATGGTATGATTATGAGGAGCTTGAGGGAAATTGATTTCTGTTGAGTGGGTGCAGTACATGCATATTATGAAAGTCAGCTATTTAGAATAAATAGGAAGTCTCATACCCAGCACTGTCATACACAACTTATATTGTCTGAGAGGATGTCAGTTCATGTCATATCTTATATCACAGAATGGCTAGAGGATCACATGAGAACCTTGCACATTTTATGGGAAAGTGAAAAGGGAAAATTACTGAAGAGAAAGACAATAAATAGACTTCCTTGTCAGACAAGTTGGGAAAGCCTGTTTCTTGTCTTTTATTTCAAAGATAATACTTGAAACTCCATTTACTTAGAAAAAAATGTGTGGGTGACATATTTGAACCAGTCCATTTCACCATAGAGGTATTCAACCTCTATTTGAAAAAAGTACAATGTTACAGGTCAATTCTTGTGCTTTGCCCACATATGAGGCCTATTTATTATTCATTTGTCGTACCTCCAGCAGGACAGTATGATGTTGACTTCAAGTCTCATTCCTTGAATGTGACTCAGCTAGGACTTAACTAATTACAGCCTGGAATGCAGCAAGATACAGATACAGATACAGCAAGATGGAGTTGCATAAATGGCTGACTGGTTGTGATTCCCTTCTATGATAGCGATTGGTGGTCTGTTACTTTTAATTGGTTCATATGGGTGTTGATATGTTGGTTGGAGACTACTGCAACGTGATGACCATCATATGCTGCACAAATACTTTAACCATGAGTTGGCTCTGACAGGAGAGGGATTAGACCCTTCCACAGGCTGAAAATCCTCACATCTTTGTCGGTCGTTTCCCTTTCGCCCCCCCCTCTTTGCCAACACCATGAAAGATATCATACCAGGGAAGTGAATCTTTACTTGCTCTCATTGCACTCTTTGTGATAAGGCCAGATAAGTTTGAATTGCTTCACAAACACCCTCCTCTTATTTCCCTCTCTCTCTTCCTATCTTCTCCATCCTTACCCTCCTGGCATTATCTTTGAATTGCACAAGTACTTCTGACTGCCCGTATTCTCAGAAGCCCTGTATGAGACCCTGTTGCATCTATGTATACTTCCTCTTTTTTTCCTGTATGGATCATGCCTGGAGTTTCAAAATAAAACAAGTATTGCAAAGACAGAGAGAAAAAATGTATGACTTGATTCATGCAGTTGGAATCTCCAACACATGCTCACAATTCAGGATTGCAGATTTGTTCCAGATACATCATTTCAGTGCTTGACACAAGTCTTGGTCACCAGTAAGATGTATTTTTTATGTTTCATTCATATAGATCCATGACCAGGATTTGGAATGCATTTCGACTCTCATCACACTTTCTCACCTGAGCCTGATGTGCCAAAATCCCAGTGTGCCTTCTCCTATCCCATCCAGTTTGGGTCAACAAACTAGGTGAGGAAATGCAAGGCTATGGAATATTGCTCAGAATGAAGGAGCAGAAAAATGCCTCAGATGAAAATGATCAGTTCTCAAGCAAAGGATATAGCTACTTTCCTGTAGTAGTACCAATATTGATTTGATACATTAATACATTTAATTAATCTTGATTCCCATTTAAAATAGATCCAACACGACTATTGAAGGACAGGAGATTGAATTAGTTCCCTTCTGCTTTGACTTGGCTCACCTTCTGCCTAAGTGTCAGCAGGCAGAGCTGCTGTTCTCCACTCTCATTCAAGGTAAACCATTTTGTCATAGATGGATTCCTTCCCCTGCCTCTGATCAAAAGCAAAAAGAAAGAACAGGTTTGATGAAGAGCCTCAGTATGACTTGATATCTTCTCTTAAGATGTGAAAATGCCCAAGAAGCCCAGATCTCCAAGGAGAACCATTCACTCACCTCGTGCATCCCCTCAGATGCAGCAATCTGCAAATGCTGTCCTCTTTGATCTTCTCTTCTCAGAATTGGCTTCCTTTTGTGACCGTGAAGTGAGTTGCTGTAATTCTTGTTTAATCTTAAAAAGTTTTATTCCATTCCTGAATCCTGATGCAAGCATGAACAATCTTCATAGATTGAGTTGTCCACCATGGACTGTGCCCAATTCCCCAACCTTGTCAAGCAGAGGGAGAGACCTGAGGACAATGATCAACCTCCTTTCTTCATTCATAAAGGTTTGATTTATTTGCAGTCATATCATGTTCATGGTGTGCAATTGCAAAATCATATAATTATTGTCATTCTTTACTTTAGGAAAAGTTGAAACAGAAGGATCTCCTAAGGCAGGTTCTATTGAATCAGACACAAGCACAATGAAGGATGCTTCAGAGAATCCACCAAAATGGCGTTGTTTCCTCAAGGGCATAAGTCCCACCCACATTGTCCTCATCTTCCTCCCAGCCTCATATCAAGACCTCCTCATGCTTGCTTTTGGCCATGATGGCTCTGGCCTATGGGAGGACCTGAAGCACTTTCGTAAGGTGGTTCAAGGGATCGATGACCACACCAGTGACCGCCATCCCAGTGGCCGCTCCTCTCGCAATGCCAGTGTGAGCTCTATTGCCCAGGCACAGACACAGGACACCTCCATTCAGGATGCTATGCGTAGCAGAGCCAAATCCGGTGGACCCTTTGAGAAGCGGCATGCAAAGGAGAACGTTCCAGTGTCAGCTTTTGATGACTTGGCCCTTCTGGATCCACTTAGGCGCCAGGAAGGAGGGCTTCTCCGCTCTGTGATTGCAGCACCCTGGGAGAGTCCATCGATGGTCAGTCGAGAGGAAAGTTTCACTTGTTCTTCAGCCGATAGCCTCTCCACACCGTCACTCCTACCTGAGAGTCAGAAGTTTTGGGTGCACAGTACTTCCAGTTCTCCTCAGAAGCTCAGTCAGCAGGAAAGTACAGAGCAAAGTGATAGTGTTTCTACAAATCCTCAGGATGGAAGGTTTGCCTTCATGAATGATTTTTGAGTCTATAGCTTATCTTAAATGAGAGATGAGAAGGTAATGTAGTGTGTATTCCTCTGCTTTCAAAAGAAAACTTACAGGAAGCGTGATGTTACCTGTGTATGTCTACGACTGCCCCCTGTCTGATGTTATTCGATTCCTGACGTCTCGAGTGATGGTGCTGAACCACAAAACTGATTTATTCCTGGATCTCACATATAAGTTTGACTCAGAGTTGGGTGAAGATGTGGTCCAACTTAAGGAAGAGGAGGAGGAGAGCAAGGATATAAAGATGAAGAGCAACAAGGACAAGTCCCCCCCAGAGAGCAAGTTTCATCTCATTGTCTGATTGGATATGCAAATTTGGCACTGTATGTTATGCCTGATTTCAGGGAACATACTGCTGGAAACCCATAGTGAGACCCTGGAACTGATCTATCAGAAGAGCTTCATCGTATCCGTATTCCAGTGCCTTCAGGCAGGACGACCTGTCCACACACAAGATATCCAGGCTGCCATTGAGAATTGCGAAGAATCTCCACTTCACATTGATCTCACTTCGTTCATCAAGGTTTTCATTACTCTCTACATGACAAATGCATCACATGTTGAATCTGAATATAAAATATATTTCTGGCATGTCCATTTCAACAGGCTATATGTGGGCACATTAAAGAATTCCTGCCAAAGCAGAAGATGGCAGGGTTGAGGGAGGCCCAGCCAGCTGGTCATTCCTCTCCAGTGAAGGGAAGCACCCCAAAGACCCTCCCCACATCAATTTTACCCTTGAGTTCGCTGCAGAATCAATGTGACTCCTTCCTTCAGCTGCATTCCATGATCAAGAAGAATTTTGCTTCCATCCTGTGCACAGCCTTTCAATCAGTCCCTTCAAACCCAAACTACTTTTTTTACTGTCCTCCTGGTCTGCAGAGTGGAGCTGAGGTAGGTTACAGTCTGTGCCCAGATGAGAAATTCATCCATAGCTTGCAGTTGATGATTTTTGTGTCATTCATAGCATGCAGCCCACGAGGAGCGTGAGTGTGTGTTTCTTCCCAGCCAGGTTGAAGAGGAAGGCCCAGAACATGACACAACTGACCAGTCAGAAACAGTGGAGTTTCGTTCTGACATTGCCAACAATGGTTTGCAGACTGAATCTCTCTACTGATTCATATCAGTTTCTCGAGCTCTTGGAATGACAAAATATCAATAAAGTAAAAATGCTTTGCAGTGTTTAGTGGGACAGGTGACACTAGGGAAGGAGATGAGAAGCTATCCTCGATTCCAGAGGATGACAAGCAGACATCCTTGATTTCCAATATTGATTCCCAGAGTTTGAGTGAATCCTTGGAGGAATGTAATCCAGAGGAGGAGCAAGGCATACCCCCACTGTTTCTGCACCTGGTGTGCATGTTGCGATCTAAGGGCAACATTGCCACCACTTCTGTCATTGCTCCTCCTACCTGCCTTGGTTTGGTTTTGACTATGTCGAATTTTCTGTCTCTGCATGATCTATCCACAAAGAAATGCATGAAACTGCTGGAAACTTTTTATAGGTGAACTTCTGCCTCATCTGGAGTCTGAGGCATCTGATTTGGACTTGGAGGAACTCCATATGAGACTGGATGTTCTTTGTCTCACTTTGCCACCAGAGCTTACACACACCATCATAGAGAGGTTATAGATCTGTTTCACTGCCCAGTTAGTTGATGAGAGATGCTTATATATGGCAGCACCTGAAGCCTATGACTTTCTCCAGGTGTCAAGAAGGTCAGAGAACGACTTCATTCTCGTCAACTTCTCCTCCAATCCCAGTTGGGATGTCAGCAGCAGATGATGATAATGGATCAAGACCAGGAAGCATAGGCAGCTTTGGCGATGAGTCTGCTCCTTTCTTTCAGTTTTTGGCTCTTTTGAAGTAGATGGGTTGATCATCAAAGATATCTTGCTTTTCAGCATTCCACCAGAAAGCCACAGAGGCCAAATCTTGTCCCATCTGCCAGAGTTCCAGCAGCAGGCTGTGATCAAAGTGGTCGAAGAGGTGGGGCTTTGCTGTGATCCACTTCTTGGGTGCTTAATGTATGGAGTGTCTCAGTGTACATTAAGCCCCTTTTCTCACCAGGTGCACTGGTTGTTGCAAGATGAGGTGGTCTCTTCCCTCTTGGACTCATTTCCCTTGACCCATGACACCCTCTGCCTGGTTGCATCTCATGTCCAGGCCTCACCTGGTCGATCCTCATGCATTCATCAAGCAATTCCTCTACCTTTCGTGTTCGGGCCTGAGAAGAGCCTGGCTAAATTCACTGAGGTGCATGAACTGAGAGGACTCACTCATTTGCCATGTTTCTGTCTTTCATGTGACTGTGCTGCTACTTTGCAGGGATTCCGGCACCTGAAAGTGAGGGACTTTCGCCTGAGTCTGCTGGGGGATCTTTACTACCTGGCAAAAGACCCAGTGTTTGTACCAATCCAAGTGAATGTGCAGACACCATCTGTGTCCTCAGCTGAGTGGACCCCAATGTCTGGTTTTACCAAATCCATCAAGCAAGGAATCCAACCTCTAGACGGTTTCCCTCCGTCTGTTTCATCTGTGCATCCACACACAGATGATGAGTCTGTTCTTAGCATGGGAAAGCAGGGTAAAACATGAAACCATTTGATACTCTCTCTGTTGTGTCATTGAATTAAGCCCATTATTGGGCATGTCAGGAAATCTTGAAGGCTACAAGATGGAAACCTTGAAACCTGGAGTCATGTCACAATCAACATTTTTAGATTGCCTCTGTATTGTAAAGTCAATTCCATAAAATTGTTCCCATCTGTCATACTCTTCTTGTATGAAGATGTAGGAAAGTTGAAGGGATGAAATGTCTTGTTTCGACAGCTTACGTGAGTGCTACCTTGGTGCCAGAAATCCTAGGGGAACTGTGCCTCACTCCAAAACCATCACTTGGTTCTCCCCAAAATACCCCTGGAAGTCGGACTGATGGATCTCTGTTTGTGGAGAGTGAAGGCACCACTGACATTGGTATGCACATTTCCTTGAGTGTGTATCTCTTGTCTTAATTCTGTTTCCATAAGCTTGTCAGCATGAGTGGAGTACCTGTATGTGTGTTGGCATACCTCTGCAATCTCTTCTCTGTGCAAGCACAAGAGTCGAGAACATTCGAGAACATTTTATTCTACATCAAGTTGAAACACCAAATGCTGCATTATTCCAAGTGAACTTTCTCAATATAGTTCCCACACAGCTACACACACTTCTTTAATCATTTTATCAGCTGCTCAAGTCCTTTGGCAAACCAGTTTGCTAGGGTCACTTGAACCCACTGGTTCACAATGGGAGCATGCTCCAAGTGTGCACCAAGGTCAGGTCGACCTTGGCGAATCATCCACTGTATCCCATTCTGCTTCAAAGCAATGCACTCAATTATTTATGGCACTTTTTCCAAATGCTCTGTCCCTGTAAACTTCTTGCAGCTCACAACCAATCTGGGCCTATGACCTTTTCTGTTTCCACACAAACCAAATCCCACCTCACTGGACCCGATCATCTTCTTCCATAGTGGTAAAATATAGGTCTACTTAAAAATGTGATATCTTTTCAATAGGAATGAGGAATTACACCATCATCCCTACGTTAGCACCATGATACATCAATATGAACACTATGACACGACCGTTGCTGCCGGATCACATGGAAAGAAAGTATTCATACTTGTTCTTGAACTTTTGGGATGACCCTCATATATGTACGTGCAATGTATTGTAGATCCAGATGGTTTGATGACACTGCAACCCCTTATAGGGATTGAGGGATTCCAATCACAAACTCCCTCATTTGAGCTGTCTTTCTCTTCTTTTATCTTTTCAGCATTTAGCAACTTCTCTTTTTTGCAGTTTGATTTTCTTTGCTTCTGCCTCAAAAAATAAATAATGCACATGCACAATGGATATTGCCTCTTTTTTTTTTTAAGCTTCCACTACAATCTGATAGCTAAGTTGATCTGATAGCTAAGTTGAAGCATGAAAAACCAATGATAAGTGCAGCAAGGGAAAATGTGGTATGAGGCTCATGCAAAAGTGTGAATATGATTCCATGGGAAGGGACAAGGGCATTCAAGGAAACTTCTCCTTCCGTTAACACTGGGACCAAGTTAAATTCAAGCTGGATTCCAGGCATAGCATGTGTGAGAACCTAGTGTATGTGGTTTTTCTGGATGTGAAAAGTGCTGCAAATAAGCATTACCCTGAAAGATGCTGTAATGAATTTACAGAAGTATGAAAACCTCCTAGAAGAGTCTGGCACCAACATCATCCTCATCCTAGATCCATTGCTGCTTGCAGGAAACGCTGGTGTTGCAGTTTTGTTGTCACAAAGAATGTGAATATTGCTTGGCTTTAAACTTTGCCTGCTGCATTTCATATTTTTCAATCTCGGTGTGCATCCACATGACAGAACCTGCATGGCAGGTATTGTCGATTTTAATGATGACCTTATCCTCATTGAAAATACCACTACTTTCATGGATAAATGTGTTGGAATCTGCTTACTGGAGGTTATAGTATTTTTAGCCATGAAGTAAGATTATAGGATTATGAAATTTTTTTCTTTTCCCATGATCTGTACTCTAGTATGCATTGTTTGGCATTTAGTGGTCTGAGAACCATGTCTTCAAATCTTGACCTTGTTTTCATGTAAGGAGGTCCATTGATTCTAGGCTACATGGGAGACAGCAGTGATACAGAGTCAGAGCATGGAGTTGCAGTGGACTGGGATGGAGACCTAGGGAAACACTCTCCTTCTCGTTTGCCACGCTTTTGGTTCATTCTCAAAATCCAACCTGATCGTGTTGAGAGCTTCTTTCACTGCAGGTAGGCAGTTCTTGATTCATCTTGCTCTTGGCTCTTTCAACATCACTCTGTGATGAAGATCTACAAATCTGGGCCTTACTGATAGTGTTCACATTTCTTTTTAGTCTTCTTGTGGCATCATTTGTGAATCCAATAGGATCAGTAATGTGACTGATATGAAGTAATGAAATTTTGTTGGCTTCTTGTAAGAAATGAACTATTCAGCATTTCATAATACGAACAGAATTTGTATTCTCATGTAACCTTTCAAAAATACTGCCCATGAAGTTGCCTATAAATTTTGATGGTCATTATTATCTGCAGCTGTTACACCTTAATATTTATAGGTGTAGCTGAATTATAATGAAAAATTTAACACTTGTGAAACCATTTTTTTTTTGTTTCAAGGTCAAGTGAAACAGACAGTCTGCAAGTGGCTGAATGGAGGAAGATTCATCATGAGGTGGTGACTGCCATCAAGGACCTGTGCAAACTGGTAAATCAGACAATGCTCCTGCGAGACCTCCATGACAGCCGCATCTGCAATCAGCTGCTTGAACCTGAGGCCAGTGAAGACATCTGGCGCAATGAGGAAACCTCTGTGACAGGAACTCCAGCACCTGATCGATATGCAAGAGAGCGATCTGTGGAAGATGGGGAGATAGAGAGTGTGAATTACCTGGAGGCCAACATGAAGTTTATGCCAGGGGCCTTTGCATGTCCAGTTGTGTGGGAAGTTCCATTTTCTCTCCATCCTCGACTGAAGATTGGGCCATCAACAACTGGCATATCTCGGGGCATTAAGGCCCTTCGTGTTGTCCTCAATGCATTCTCAGTCAGCAATCGCAAGAACATGTTTGTCTATCAAGATCAGATGGGAAATGTGTTCTATCTCAGGTGAAGAAATATCTTCTTGAAACTTCATGAACTTGTGAAAGGTTTTTATTTTCAAACGTCCTGCTTCTAATAGATTGCAGGAGAGTGGACGCAGCAGATCTGGCAGTGCCACAGCTTCTCCCTTCACTGTACCACATGATGGACCACAAAGATTCGGTGGAGGAGAGGAGGAGGAAAGGAAGCATTCGGCAGTTTTTCGCTCGTTGTCTCTCACATCATCTAGTGGCACTCCACGAACTACTGAATATCTGGTGGGTATTCTTGCACAGGTCGTGTCTGTATCGTGGTCATGACTTTTCTTAGGCATTCAAGCATGCTTTTTCTCACAGGAACCACATGGAGAAGTCTGTTACAATCGAGGGTCAGTACCTGACATACCCCGAGCATTGAACTCAGATGCTTCATCAGACTTCATTGGACTTTTGGTTCATGGGATCACTGAAGCAGGTCTAGTTTCAATTTCTTTTAATGTAATTCTGCCAAGCATTTTCATATCCTGAGAGTTTATCTTTCTTTCATTTATAAACATTCCATCAGGCCCTGCCATCAAGCAAGAGCTGGTCCAGGTCCTGCAGAACCGACTGGATGAAGCCGTTTTGGATGTGATTTCTGTCATGCTCCTCAGGAATCCCCAATGCAAGCTGACACGAGAGGACGTCCACTTCATTCAACGTCCATTTGACCCCCCAACCTGCTGCTTTTATGTAAGCCTACTTGCAAAGCATGTTTAAGGTTTTAATTGGCAGGCAGCCACAGGCACATTTGCCCTTTTCACTTCTCTCAAACACATTCACTGCCACATACGGCTATAGCTGTTTTCATGCCATCTTCCTAATAACTACTTGTTTCTTCAAGATGTGTCATTTAAATGTCTCACAACCTACAAGGGTTGCATACAAGATACCACACCCTTAAAACATTATTGAAGGCATGTTGAAGATTTCATTCAATTAAATCCCTGGCAGTGAATGTGTTAATCTTTAAATTGAAAGTTTCACAATTTTCATGTGTCAGGTTAGTTTTTTCACCTGCAGTAGTATTATGTGTAAGCTTCCATACAATATCCTACACTAACACTTTTATTTACCTAATTTTAAGATCAAGAATTGGATTTCATCAGTTGGATTTCATCCAGTAGTGAATGAAAAAAAAAGGTTTGCCAGATCATCCCAACTTGCATGACTCACATTTCAATATACCTAAGGTGGCTGTGGTGCTTGGATTGGAATGTGAAAGTGTTGTCTTTCAAATTATTTTAAAATTTATTTTAAATCTTTAAAATTAAGTCAATTTCATGAGTTTTGTACATTAATAACTTTATGCAATATGATTGAAAGTCAAAGAAAGCCAATTTAGGGCACACTGGAATCTCTTGGCTCCAAGGCTCTGTAAATAATTACCGTAATCAAGTTTCTTAGTTTTTAAAGATCTCTTGCATAATCTCTGGGAAGATTTGCATTGTGTGCCTTAGCTGAAAAGAAAATTTATTAAACTGGGGAATTTCATTTTCATCTATAAAAAAAAATTGATTTTTCTTTAACCTTTAAAACAGGCTGAAGAAGGGTTGCATCACATGCCTGTGGGCCTTTGAAAATGATATGGTTACAATTCAAAATCTATTTCACACTGTTTCATTTCTCAACAGTTCTCCATTCCTGATTGGACTCTCTTATATCTACCTGCACTGGCATACTACCTTCAGCAGAATCTTCTGCAGTTCCTGGCCACTCCTCGTTATGTGACTTCCAATGCAGGATTTCATTTCCAGGTTTCTTCATCTCTCGTTGCTATTTATTTTTGGAGACCACCGATTTGTAACCTTAAGGTTATTCTGGCAGGACTTTGGCCTGGATGATGGAGATGACACAGGACCCTCAAATGCTGGAAACATATTTCTCTTCAATGAGATGCAAACAACCCACAATAAGGGAGTGGCATGTGTGGCATTGAGCATTCTGGATCCAATGGGCCAGCCAGTGTGCCATCAGGGGCCATGCCCCCTACCAGCCCCAGAAGCCTACAAAGAACTTCTCACTCCTGAACTCTTTACCATCCTCACAGACGTGCATGAGATCAAGGATGAGAAAGTCCACCAATGTATGTGATTCTGGTCTGCTAGAAGAATCTAATCCATGTCCAGACTCCTTCTTTTTAAATTTTATTAATGGTTTTGGATTCTCAAGTGATCAGGACATGCTGGTTTCTGAATGATGCCATACATGTTAAAATTACTGTTAATGTACTTTCAAACTATTGCATATGACAAATTTGTCAATATTGCAGAAGATATGTTTAAGCAATGATCATGAGTGGGCCTACACACACAAAGAAGTTTGGTAGTTTATGTTTGTTGCAATTGGTTGCCTTTCTCCACTGTTAACTTGCAACTTCTTTGCTGTGATGGGAATGCTTGGGACCTAGATTCAGTGCAATGCTGTCCTCAGAATTCCATTTCTACAAAAAGCTATGTTCCCACTGTCATACAGGTTGCATCACATTCCGTATATGGGCTAAGGGACTGGTTGATTTTACAAGTCTGTCTGACCGGCTACGGCTGGGTGTTCGTCAAGCCCTGTTTGATCTCCTCATGGAATATCGCATCCTCACAGCCCCTCTTGCTTCAACCAGTGAAAATACCAAGCTGCAGCCAGGATCTCGCCTTCCTCCTTCCTCTTCAGAGCCTTCCACTCCTGTCAGAGGTGAGTTTGCACTCCTCTTGCTTCTGCCACAGGAATTCTTCAGCATCTCACAACCACTTTTGAATGTTTCAGTCAAGCGAATGGTGTATCCTCAGGCCACTTTGGCCTTGAAGGCATCCAAAGAACGAGCTCCTTCACCTCTCATTGCCCCACAGGTAGGCAAAATGGGTGTCTTCCACTCCTTAATTGCATGTTGCAAAGCAAAACTAAGCTGAGGGAAGTGTTTGGGAGGATGTCATATTGCTTGTTGTTGCCGCTTTTTCCATCAGGACCTAATGTGCAAGTCTATTCCATAAGAAATCAAAGCATTGCCCTTGAGGATATGAATACTAGTGATGTGAGCTGGAAAAATAACCAGTTTCTTTGCCAACAAAGAATATACTGTACAATCTTACCTGTAAAGGAAAAGGTTGGGGGAAAGAAAAGCAAGGAATCACAGCAGGCGACTGAGAAGGTTTCAGGAAACCCAACAGGATACTTTGTTGGGAGGGGCCACACTCAGTGTGGCCCCTCCATATGAGAACTGGTACAAAGGAGATCCAAATCCAACAACCATGGAGTCCAAATCTATCCATTTACATCCAAATCAGCTTTTGTGCCTAAGTCTTGTTAAATACTTATTTGGCATGAATGGCATGGTGGAGAGATTGCCTGTTATGGTTATCAGATATTCATAAGAGACATATTTGATGTAAAGACTATAATCTTACCTGTACTGGTAATGGTTACTTTACATTACTTTAAGATAATACTAGTTAATAATTTTTTTAGAAATGGTGAAATGCTATATTTTTACCTGCAAAATATCTTAATAGTAAATTAATATCATTCTAGTCGATTCTTTTGAAAAGTTTGTGGCACAGTTCAAAAGAATATTCCTCCCAAAAGGCAACAGAATAATCTTTTCTGCTACTGTCATAATACCAAGGTATTAATTTTTAGCATTTAAAAAGCATATTGACATCCATAGGGTTATGAATTGAAGGAAACCTTCTCTTGTTGAAAGTTTTGGACATTTTGTTACTGACGGGAGAAGTGAAGCTTCCAGCTGCTTTTTTAATCCCTACCAAAGGACTGCCTCTGGTTAAGCATCATACACTTCACATCAGTTTGCTCTCTTTATGGAATATACCAAATAAGTTGTAGGGTTTGGGAGCTAACATTGTAGTTATTCATCTGCTTTTCAAGAAAGAGTCAAAGACTAAGATTGTGGTGTTGGAATGCAAATTACATTGTTGGATTTTCCACACCTTGGCAAGGTTTCACTACTTCTCCATCATTCAGTCATGGGTGGATGATGATTGAGACTGAGTAATATTTTCCTGGTATCACTGAAGGGAGAGCAAGGGCTCCGAGAGAGGAGCCTGAGTGGGCCTGGGATCCGCAAGTATCGGTCAGCCTCAGTCTCGTCTCAGGTTTATAGGAGCAGTGCCAAGGTGAATTGTTGAATGTTGATATTGATTCCTGTTCTTCTCCCTCCCCTTCCTGCACCATTAGCTTCTGCTTTACACTCATTCACCTGGTTGTGATTCCGAACAACCTGCATGATGCTTGTGCTCTCCAATGCTGCACTTTGCTTTGAGGCTGAGTTTTATCACAGTAGGACTGGGTTGTCATGGTGTTCATGAGCACTAACACTTGCTTTTCTTATGATTATGAATAATGGCACAGCTTGCTGTTGCAGTAGTTGGGATCTGGCATTGTTTTATATCAAGAAGCATAGACCATAGACAGCCTTATAGAATTCTTAGATATTTAAGGCTTATTGTGATTTAGCAGGGGAGTCGATCGCCAGTGAAATCCCCTTTTGCATGGGAAACATCATCCTCATGTGGGAGCAGTGTCACACTGGAGCCCAACAGTGGTGGAGAGTTCTCAGGACCATTGCAGGAAGTCTTTGAGAACCTCATGATCCCCTGGCTGGAGTTTGGAACGAATCTATTGAGTGTCCCCTCTGTGAAGAAGTTCTCTGTCTGCGTCTCATCGGCGTGAGTTCCTTGAAAATGAGAGAGGATTCTCTTTCTTGTTGAAACTGTTCTCGAATCATTCATTGGACAGGCATTCAGTGGAGATCCTGCTGAAGGAATTTGCAAGTCGAGCATCTCATGTGGATGGTGACATGGTCCTTGCCACTTTTGAACGGATTTCCCAAAGAGACCATTATCTTCCTCGAAAGTTCACATGGAGTGCAAAGGTGCAGACCAATGATGTTGAGAGCATTCATTCAGCACAAAGCCTTGATGTGGTAATGGTTGGGCGAAATGCTCGACTCTGGTGGGCATTATTTGGCTCAGAACTTGGGGAACTCAAGAATCTCACTGGTCTTGGTAAACAGTCTTGATTCTTTCCAGCAAGTACCTGCTTTGGCCTGATTTGAAATAATCAGTTTGTTTTTTGCCCAGTTCACAAGGGGAATGTGAAGTTTCCATCACTGTGTCTGAGTGCAGAGACCAGGATAGAGACTGGATTCACGCCCTTATCAGCCACCAGCCCCACTTCAACCTCTTCTTTTCCTAATCGATCCCCATCCTGTGGGACAGACAAAACATGTATTATCCCACGACAGAGCCTTGTATTTGCACACCTTACAGGCTTGGAGGTTAGTATAGATTTTGCCAAAAATTTGGACCATTCTTCAAAATTGCATACTCAAAGCAGCATTCTCTCCCTAGCTGGTTGTGTATACATACAACTGGGCCAAGGACCACTGTGAGCTTCTGAACAAATCCACAACACAGTTGTCTCAATGGCTTGATACCCGCACTTGTCTTCTCACTTCACTGGCCCTGCAAAAACTGGGAATATTCTACAATCAACCAATATCACGGGGACTGCGGAAAGATTCTGGCATTTCCCAAGTGATTGCATTTCTTTAAATCTTTGAAGAAAACATTCAAAATGCATGCATCCAAGAGACTTAATTTAAAATATTATATGTGAGCGCAGGGATATGTGAGCAACCCACCTACGATGTCAGAGGTGGAGCACTTGGTGAGGTACTCAGCACCTCCAGGACGCGAGCCAAGCCCACTGGTTGTTCGTAACATACGCCGACCTACCCCCAATCAGCACCACCATGCTCATCCACAAGGGATGCACAAAATGCATAGTTTTCTGGAATCCTATCGCGATTCAAAGCCTCCCCGTCCACTTCATCGAAGTGGCTATGCCAGCTTCCGGGACCCAGTCATGCGTCATGGAAGGCAGATGCTGGAGATGCGCAGTGTAGATCGTAAAGGTATGGATAATACATTGGGATTTGCTTGTGATTGAATAAATGCATAAACTGGCTCATTATATTAATCATGGGGGGATAATTGCTCTTGAACAGAATTGGAGAAGCAGTTGAGTGTGCTGGGCCAGACAAGAGATGCACATGTGACCCCCATATCAGTGGATCTCCTCCATCCATTCATGCAGATGGCCCGACTTCCTCATTACTGCATGACCCCACTCCTCTTAATTCCTAGGTGGAGGCAGATCATTGCCCAAGTGCGGAATCCATGGCTCGTCACCCATGGAGAGGAGGAGCATAAAACTGACCACTCAGTGAGTGCAAGATGGAGAATGCAGCATGTACAGCATAAGCTGATATGCTTAAAATTAGCTTAATATTAAGTGATTTGAAATTAATCACTGTTTCTGTTGGAATATGTTTAAATGGGTTAATCATATTTTCTCCCTATGAACTCAATAAGTAATGATTCACTAATAGGTGTTCATCAAATTACTGTTTGCTTGAATTATGAATGTTTGTTTCCTTCATTTCACTTGTTTCCACATGGTCTATAGTTGTACTTATGAATTAGATTACTTTTCTTCTTTTGTTTTTTTATAAGCTTGTTTTTGTATCTAGCGTTCAAGGCACAGTTCTGGGAGTGGGAGAGTAGGAAGTGGAGGGAGTGGTGGAGGAGGCAGTGGAGGAGCAGGTCTTACCACAGTACCCTTGAGAGATGAGTCTTGGCATGATGCCCTTGTATCTTCCTTCTTCAATGATTACATCCTTTATCTACAACAACTCAAGGATTCAAGCTTTGTTTTCATCCCAACTCGACACACCTTGTTGGTTACTTTCTTCTTTGTCATAAAAAAATGGAGATCTTGGCTTAACATCATTCCTTACATCCAGTGCTGATGAAGGGGAGGGCTATGATCCACGAGGCAAGACATCTGGGAGGTTGTCCAGCCAAAGTGGTCAAGCAAATCCATTGCAGCTGGTGCCACGCAAGGACCAGGTCTTCTATCTTCAGAGATCCTGCCTGGGAGGACACCTCATCATGGAACTGGGGATCAGTAATCCATACATCTACAGCAAGATTTATGCTGTGGAGCTGAACCGCCTTCAGCCTCGGACTTCCCGTGCCCTGAGCCTCCAGGTAGAATGTGATGGAACTCATCCATCTTGAAGGCAGGGTCACTCATGTCAGTGTCTGTTTTTAGTTTACAGTGAGTTTCCTGGATGAGATAGATAAGATCAAAGATCATCTCCATCTGCACTCATTCGCATACGACTTCCACCTTCGGACTCTGTCATCATATCTGACAGGGAAGCTGCCTTACTTTCGGCACAGTTACCATGTCACATCTTGCCTAGATGACTTTATTCAGTACTACACTAAGGGACCTGGGAACTCACGCAACCTCATTTTTGCTGGTGCATCCTCTGTTTCATTACCATTCAGTCTGATGTCTATCCTTTGACCAAAATGAGCCCTGATTTCTTCATTCCAGGTTCCTTGGTGATTGATAACACACTCACACCTGCTCTCCAGTTGTACAATTACCTGATGACACATTGTGAGAAGAAATACAACATGAGAGTCATCCGTGAGGCTCCCATTATCCAGGATGAAACTGGAAGTGTGGTCAGTTATTGTATTGCTGCATCTCTGATGGCTTTGTGTATCAAATGTATAATTTCCTATGATGAGTCATAATCTCAAGTCCATCCTCCCCAATTTGTCATATACAAGATTTAATTTATTATGTTATTTTGGTGACTCAGGACACAGAGTTTGTGCTGGTAGAGTCAACAGTTCGGCGATTCAAGTACCAGGACATGAATGAGGTGAAACAGACAGGGGAGTTCGATTTGACCATCTTGATTTGTCTGGACACAGAGGCCATGGACCCTGAGAGCCATTCCCTCTCCCTCAAGTTTTATGTTCTCCTCACTAGTCACAAGTCTGTTGTGATTCCTCACCTCTGGGGCTTTTGTGTATTCCATGTGATTCTACTTTGATTTGATGCCCCTGCAGGGAACTCTATCCCCGACACGGGAAAGAGAGGCTGGGGAGATTTCGAACAGTCAGCATTCCATCAGCATCCTTCATGAGAAGTTCATCTGGTCTTGGTTGGCGTAGTGATGTGGGAAGCTGTCACTCATCATCTCCCTTCCTAGAGAAAATCACTCTTGTAGAAGGAAGCCAGGAAAGTTTCGTTGACACTTCTCGACTTGAGAATTTCTTCTCCTGTCATGGCTATCAAGGAATTAGGTGAGACTAGCAAACCAAAGAACCCTAAGGAAATTTGAGGTGATGCAAAGCTATAGTTTCTTCCTGCTGGATTAGATTTGAGCCAGTTCATTACATGGGATACTTCTCAACCTATGAAGAAGCAATGCAGGATCTCCTGAGCCAGCAAGTCGACCTTGCTCGACAGCGCATCCAGGAGATCGTGGAGAAGGCCACCATCCACTGCCGTCGGGATATCCTCTGGGACATGCTTGAGGCTAAGGTCTTTTTCGTTTCTTCTTATTTTCAAATGAGATGTTCTGGAGACAAGGGAACAATGGGAAAACCCTGTCTACCTTTCTTTGTAAAGGCACATCCCACTCTTGCAACAATGCCTACAGCAGGGCTCTCGCAAGTTCATTTGATGCAAAATCAGACTTATTGTAATGCTTCATCAGTAATTCACTTCATTGAGCTTCATTTCCTTTGAGGCCGTAGACAGTGATGGACTAGTTACTTTGTACAAATAAATTAGCCACAGTTACTCAAGTATGGACGTAATCACTGTGTGTACTAGAAAGAGTTACTTTTTAGTCAGACTGGTTATCAATAATTTCTTATGACTATTCTGCTTAATCAATTTATTGATAAATCTAAATTTAATTTACATATCATCCACATTGAATGTGGCAGACCAGAGTTTCCTATACCATTCTTGCAGTCATCTAAGGATTAATAGGATTCTAAAGAATGCAAGAATGCATTTTGCTCCTGAGAAATACCGGTATACGTTTCTGGCATGACTTTGCACTTATCAGAAGCTTTGGTGCAACTCTTTCATTGAATGCAGTTTCTAACTCCCAACAAAAAAAAAGGGGAACATGTTCATGCTAGCATTCTCACCCATCCATTTTCCTTAACTTGCTGTAGTATTAGTCCATAGAGGCACATGGAGTACAGATGTGCTCCAACAGGATATGTGTTGTAGCATCTACAGTTGCAATTTCCTGAGGGCTCCCACATTCAGTAATTTCTTTTTAGGCTTAATTTAAGAATTATGAAGAAGAGGTTAACAAACTCCATGGCTGCCAGCCTAGCCCTTGATGTCTAGATGTTGATATACTGCCTGTGGTGCAACTGAATAATGTTACTCAGGCAGTGCACCTAACTACAGCTTAAATCAATTGTGTTTCACGGAAACTTGACACCAGTCATTATATTTGTGCAGATACCAATACTTTCATTAACACCATGTCACTTGAAGGCAATAATAACATTTCATTCCATTTCAAATCGTTGCAACATTGATTTATGGTCCTATGTAGTGTCTGTTATGCTCTGGGTGGTGATTCGCTACTATTTCTCATTATCCTGCTGGTTTCTGTAAATGGAATTAATTACAGTTCTGTAAATGCAGTACACATTTAAATTGCTTAACTTTTATACTTTGCCATGAATAAGATTGCTTCACAACTTTTCCATTTGTCTCATGACTTATGATTTCATAGTCATCCAGCAATCCTTTATCATTTTCACACCAACAATTTTCTTTTTCTTTTGACAGCCCTGCACTTTGACCCATCAGGAGTTCACTGAGCTCCTTGCATTGATCACGTTGATACCACTGAGTTCATTGGATGATCAGCTTGGTACTCTGCTCAACATGGGAACATCCTGGTACCAGGGTCTGGTGAAAGTACTGATCGCAAAGTATCCAGATACCCACCGACACTTTCTCTTGGGACACTCTCAATACCTGGCTGTGCTGAGTGGGGGGGGGGTTCGACGCACAACCTTCCTCCTCCTCCATGTCGACACAAGCACCCATAAGAATGTAAAAGAGGCACTCTATTGAATTTCTGTCCAGCATTAAAAGATTCCAGGTAGCAATTCTTTTTGTTTGTTTTGCAGAGCTTGAGTGTGGCATCCAAGGAACCCTTGAGCCAGGGCGAACTGAAGCGTCAGCATCCGACCGAACGTGTCATATCAGTGGTTTCTCAGATTGATGATTTTGTTGATGCTTGCTGCTTTCATCTCTGGTCCACTCTTCTATAACTTCTAACATCTCACCGAGATGGTCGCATGTCTTTCATTCTGGTGTTTTATTCATTGTGTCATTTGAGTGTCCAATTGTTAAAAAAATATGCTTAATGCATTTCCAACTGTGATGTGTTGAACCATCACCAAGATACTTTATGCCTCGTTTTCTTGTCTGCTTGGTTGTTTTTATTCAAACTTACCAGAGCTTTGATGAAATGGGTATGCAATGACGAGCTTAAAAAGTTAGAAGGCATAATATTGCATTGATGGTATTTTCTGTATGGAGTGTTTTTCATTATGGCAATGAAGTGATCCTACTTTCAAGGTTCCTGTGATTTCTTCATGAAGACTGCTATTACACAATATGAACCTGTATTTTAAGCAATAATACAGGGTGATCCTAAAGTCAGGAAACCCAAACATTCATTAGCAATGCCCACACCGTACCACAAAAATTATTCCGACTGTGCAAATCTAGTTCAACGTGTGTGTTCACATGAAATCACATCATATGTTGCAAGTGTCCCCCTTGTCCATCTAGACATAGCTGCACTTTTCTACCCATATATCCAGCCACACGTTCCAACATGTCAATGGCAACTCTGCCCACAATCTCTGTGATGTTGTCCTTCAATTCTTGAACTGAATGGGGATTGTTTTTGTGGGCTCACTCCTTCACATATCCCCATAAGAAATAATTAGTTGAGGTAAGAAAGGGACCTTGATGGCCAAAGTCCCTTTGAGATCACCTGTTCCTTGAACGCAGCTCAAACATGTCACAGTGACTTTGAAGGGCTTTGTTCAAGTCTGTTCCGGATGCCGTCCACGATTTCATCCGATAAACCTGGTCTCCCACTGCGAGGTCTATCGAGAACGCTTCCTGTGTCTTGAAATCGCTTCACCAGCTTTCAGATTGCAGACTTTGTTGGCACCACCTGATGGTGAACTTCTTTCAAAATGCTTCCTGACACAGCTTGTAAGATTTTTTATTCAGATATGTCTTGACGAGGAAAAGACAGTGCTCCAACGTTACTACCATACTTGAAACTGAATGACTAAACGAACTTCTGGCTTGAAACTTGTGTAATGAGAAAACACCCCCTTTCATATATCGTACAAATGTTGAACTATAATTGTGCAATGTAGGAAGGGTTCATCTAGCACAGTATGAACAAAACATGTAATTGTTTGGGTTTCCTGACTAGGATCACCCTGTAGTTCAGAATTTTATGCATAATGAGTGGTACCTAGCAGACCAACTTAATTTGAACAGGTCTCATGAATTACAAGAAGTTATTTCAAATGGGTCCTTTCCCATATAATAAATTTAGTGTTCTATTTAAAAGATATTGATTTTCCCATATTGGTTATTGATGTCAAAGTTCACTGACAATTGGGAATAGCCATGAAATTCATATTTTATTTGTATCTAACCACCATCCCTACAGAAGTGTTCCAGAACCACAGCAGAGGAATGGATTTGGCTCTTTGTTCACACTGTATGCTGTACTGATGAGGATTTACAGTCATGCTATCACAGTTCATCTGAAAGTCACCATTTATAAAAGGCCTTCTAGGGCACCATCGAGGAATTCCAGGCATTCGGATGTCTTGATGGACTCCTCCATGTGCTGCTTTTGTACAGTTTTCTTCTTGCTTCGTTTGGTAACATTGTAAGTTTCCTTCATCAGCACACCAATAAACATCTCCTGGAAGAATGAAAACATGGGCTCAGAGAGGCACTTGCCAGTCTTGAGATGCAAAGCTGAACCTTGAACATTTAACAAAGTCCCTACTATTTCTAACACATGTGCATAGTTAGTGAAATTCTTTGCATCTCCTCCCCTCTGGTTACCAAATGAAATAAACCTTTCCAAAGGTGAAGCTGAAGACTAAGGTATGCACAAGAGTTGGTTAAGCAGACTGCATCGTGGAAGAATCGCCAATTGTGCTTCACGATGTAAACACTGCGGATGAGAAACTTCCTTGCACTCACAGTTGCCTTGGCGACCAAAAAGACAGCATCCTGACTGGCCAACTGGATATCCGGATCCGTGCGGATCATGTGCTTGATCCGGGAAAGAGGGAGGCGGGTGATGCGCTCCGTGCTTTCTTCGGGCGAGGGAATTCCTTCTTCATCCTGTTCGTTGGGTTCGTCAGTGGGGTCCGGTGCTTCTTCGAGCATGGAGTCGTTTTGAGTCAGGTCTGAGTGTGAAGCATCTCCGTTCGCGTGCACTGATGGTTCCTCAGGGGCCTCGTCGCTCGACGAAATAGGCCTATTGTCAGGCCTGTCGACAGGATTGCTTTCATCCATACCATCATCATTCATGTCTACGAGTCAAGCTGGGAAACGTAGGCCGTGGACCAGGCACATGGAAAGAAGCATGGCCTTCGGACTGGAAAAGGCGGGAAATAAACGCCGGGATCTGATTGGCTGCAGGGAGGCCTGGACCACGTGAGGATACTGTAGGCTTGATTTCCGAATGAATGCCTTCTTTTTCGAATGGGCTTAGTAATTTTTCTCATATACCCAATGGAATTCACTCTGTTTTAAGTTCGTGCAGGGTGAAAAGTTAATTCGGAGTACGATCTGGGGTAGAATTCTCCGCGGGTTGTTGAATGGGCCGACCCGACCGTGGGGCGAAGAGATTCCTCCTCGAATTGGGTCGGGTCGGGCCGATTTTTTGCTTGGTTTTTGCCTCCAGGCTGTGACCGTGCGTCCCGGAAGATGGCGAAACTTCCACAGGAGGAAGTCCAAGTCTTATGTCTGTGCGGCAGTTCGCGTGATCAAGAAACCATGTTATTCTGTGATGCCAGGGACAGTAGGCGATATGAACAAATAACGAACGATGGGGGAAAGAATAACGACTTTTAAGCTTTTTATGGCAATTTGGGCATAGGCCTTACGTTAGAGTAGATTGTAAGATTCTACTTATCATAGAGTGTAGACTTGGAGATAGCAGCAATATCTTTAATCCTCGTGTTGGCTAAGCAAAACCCCAGATCAGAAACGAAATTGAATCTCTCCATGCCATATGGAAAAAATGCTTACAAATTGCATGTCAATAGTTTTCAGTACTTAGAGCAGGCAGCTGGTAGTCTTTTTCAAGATTCACATGAGAGGCTCTTTTGGAAGACAAAGGCCTACACACTCACAATGTGTCAAAAATGTTAGCATGACTTGGCAAAACAGGAGTAAAGGTATAGTTGTAATAGAATAGTAACTGGGCCTGATAGCAATTGCAGGCATAGTGATAATTGCTTTGGGTGAAGACCAAAGACAACATACTGGGCTATGTCCTGGTATATGGAGGGTGGGAAGTGAGTAAGAGTGATGTGAAGGGAGAGTACTCGACTCGACTTGAGATTTATGATGTGGTTCATAAGGAGAAAGGCAAAGGAAGTCCATGTATGGTTCTCTCATATGGATCATGGGCCTGGATTTCAATTGGGAATAGTTCTGAATTGAAGAGTGGTGTTTTTAACATGTCAACTCCTACTTGTTCAGACATTTGCTATACCTCTTTGTGAGCCTGGTAGTCTGTGTGTTAAGAGAAAAGAAGGAAAGGGCACAAATATCATAACTACAAGGGTGGATATAACTGGTCATCAATAGATGTTGGGGTAAATGAGTATTTTCAAGGGGTAATATAAAGATTTGAATTTTTTTCATGAAGAAGAGAAGCCAATTGGATTTAGAGGCGATTACTTGCGTATGACATAAACAGTTGTGACTTTTGATAGTGTGGAGTGACTTCTTGAGGTCATCAAGATGTTCTTTGTTCGAGCTTTCACTCGAGGCCAATAGCCAGTAGCTAAGGTGAGGGACTGTGAGGGGATTGTAGACAAGCTTGAGAATTTTGCATCTGTGGGAGAGGAAATTTATTTCTCTTTGGAATCTATGCCATGATCTTTACAGGATCTGGCTTCATCACATTTCTGTCCTGCTTTGTCTTTGCCACAGATCAAATAATTGGAGAGTTTATTGTTTTGCCGAGAAAGAAATCAGTGTGCTTGATGCGTGCAATTACCCTCAAAATCAACAGAATCAATTCTTCTCTGCCCCAAATTCTGTTCAATCCAGGCAGGCACTGATGTCACTTCTCCAACATGCCCCAATTTAACTCATTGAGGGGTCATGTTGCCAGAACGGTGTGAGATTATTCTTGAGATGCCTCCAAAATTGTCAGGTATGACATGTAAGTACACCTTAGACCTGCTGCAATATTTTGTGGACTTGAGTGATTGAGTGCTTGCTGGGCATAGGCCCTAGTAGATTTTGATGGTAACCATCTTTCCTCGATACTGGAAAAGTCTTGTTGACTTTCTCTGAGAGTATTCAGTAGGTCAGGTGGTCATCATAGTATCAGTACCTGTATTTGCTTTATATGGAAGGTCATGTACAAGTTTGGTACAAGTGCATCTGTCATTGCTATAAACATTTAAAATATTTTTTCCAGGTCATGCTGGAGAGAACTGATGAGGAATGATGGCACAAGGTGACAAGATACAAGATCCAGAGGAAGATGAGGGACAAGTTTCTCTTAGTACCTGTATGTTCATTTTCATGATGTGTTCTTCACCAGCAACTCTTCTCAGCCATGTTCCCTCATTGGCAAACCCTTAGAAGAGCATTTATCATTATAAAAATATTGTGGTAAAGAAGTAGGCTGCAATAATCCCCCAATCTAATTTTGCAAAAATGTGCCATATGAAAACTTATCTTAGCAAAACTTTAAAATGTCAGAGTTGATTTGTTCTGAATTTTCTGAGGTACTTGTGAATGTCTTGAGAGAGCATGGCTGAAGGGGTTCCCTGGGGAGAGGGGGGGGGCTCACTGTGTATTGGGTGACTTCACAGAGGAATCATGTTCTTGTGCCTGGTTATTGACTACTTTTATGGTCCTATTACGCTTGGCGAGTACTCGCTAGGGCCATTCACTTAGTGTAAAATCCCACTCTCTTAGTTTACCACCTCACTTGCTACAAGTTTGAAAGATTTCAAACTTCAGGCAAGTACTTGCTAGTAAGGGGTGTACCACTATGCGAGTGGCCCTAGTGAGTACTTGCTACTGAGTGGGATTTTACACTAAGTGAATGGCCCTAGCAAGTACTTGCCAAGTGTAACAGGGCCTTAAGGCTCTCTGCCTGATTTGATAATACATAAAAAGTACTGTTAAAGGTAACCAAGGGCAAGCAGGCAGATCTGTGGATGCAAGATTCTTCCTTCTGTTGCCCATTACTTGGGATCGGAATCTCCCTATGGTCTACCTTTCATTCCTAATGTAAGTACTTGCAGCTATTAAACATCAGAAATTATTTTAACTACTTTTTTTTTACCACTGTCCCTCTCAGAATCAATTTTGACAGGCATTTCTCCTTTCTTGCAGTTGATGTGTTACTCAGTCCATTTCAAATGGGAATTGATGCTTTATGGTGACAAAAGATTCCAATCCCAGAAAGCCCTCTTCACTTTGATCGAATGCATGCAGATCCCTTAACCTATAGCCTCCAGCCCTCCTACAGTCATTTCATTGAGGTTGGTCTTATGGAATTTGGTAGTGATATCTTTGAAGTGCCTTAGATTTATGAGTCCGCTGATAACCAGAGCTGTGTTAAGATTAACAGGACTGAATTTCTGGGTTGCAGGGAAAGAGCTGCATTGAAACTGTGCTTGTTCCATCGGGGGTTCCTTCAATGCTCCTGTAACTTCCCCTTGATTGTGGTTTTAGTTTCCTGCACTCTCATTTTAAGTAAGAAGTGCATAAGAAAGTGCAAGAGTGTACTCTGTGCCAAAAAAAAGCAGTTGTATTTGTGGATTTTGTAAGGCTCTGCAGACTGGACAATCTTTTGCAAGTAGACATTAATCTGAAAACGTGTAACATACTGTGCAACCAGAGAATCTCATTATCAAAACTTTACAACCTGCATGGGTTGATCAGTGAACCTTAGGATTCTCCTGCTTGAGCTGGTTTTTAGCCCAGTTACTGGCTCAAAACAGCAAGCAAAGGCTGCAAATGATTAGGAATTTGCTCCATGATCAAGTAGCAGTGTATATTGAAGTTGAACTTTTTCAACAGTGGAATAACTACTTCCAGAAAAAACTTGTAAAGTTGCAAAAGTATGAGTGAATAAGAGCATAGCTCTTATTCACCCTTAGCTCCGTACTGGTGTGCCATTGTTACTTGGTCGGCTACGACGGAATGGTGATGCTACTGGCAGTTTTGATCATCTGGCCAGTTTCACTGTTTGTTTCACAAAGTACATATTTTGGTGGCACATGCTGCTCGTGTTGTGATACACTGAGAGTGTATTTGGGCTCTGACCATTTGCTGTTTCTAGGTCATTTCACAGCCATTTATTTGCTTTCTGCAATAGCTTTCATGGTATGACATCTTAAACTGTTGTTTTCAGGTAAACAGTTCCAATTTTTACAACATGATGGGTGGGATTTTTTTTTTTGCAGAACAGTGAAAGGGTTAAAGCTAAGAAAGAGTAGGAAAAGTATCTCCTCATGAGAGTTCCAGCTATAATTTCAAGCAGCTCTTTCCTCAGAAATCTCATCCACAGCCCTGCTAGTCCTGAGATGTCTCTGATACATTCATTTAAAGCAATCCTCGTTATTTCATTGCTGCCCTTTCCCAGTGAAGAGGGATCTGCATGCATTTAGGGAAAGGAGGCTCAGCGTACCTCCTTTTTTCCCCGAGCCTACCAGGTCCGTCAATAAGTTCCCGACCGCACCAGTACGCACAGATTTTATTTTCCCATCAATCTTCAGTGTAATGACCTCGATGACGCGCTCCCAACGATCATGCAACGTTCTGATACCGGAATCGTAACAAGACTCGTCTTTGCTGTCAAATCATTCTGGCACGACTGACTTCAGCTCATCGTTGTCGCCATAACGCCTTCATTTGGAAGTCTGCCCTTTTCAGATTTCCAAATGATGCCGTGTTCGGGGACTGCATGCTGGGTGATTGACTTCAAATCTGATCTCGCGATCAGATTTGCTTGCGCAACACGAGCCATGCGAGCGGGCGCATAGTCGTGGAGCAATAGCACATTTCGCGACAGCTTTCCATAGCGTTTCGCGACTGCACCGTGCACTCGCGGACAAAATGAGCATAACAGGTTTTCCTGACGATTTTCGTCTTGAGTCGTTTCAATTTCGCCAGTGCCCTTCTTTTCCACTCGTTTTTCCGGTAGCGCCAGTTTCTGGTGAATGAACATGGTTACGCAGAGAAGGGAAGGGAGGAACCAAAGTTTCCACGAAAGAGTTTCTGCGATCGTATGATCTGTAGGTAACACGGTCAACACAAACGCATGAATTATTATTTTTTTAATCTAAAGGGATACGCATGAACGTTGAAGCGATTTTAGCCATCGATACGCTCTTAGGCATCTCTCCAATTCTGTGCATGGCGAGACCACGCCAAGCATTTCTGATGGTCGTGTGGCTAGCTG